ATCCCCCACATACCCTACATCCCACATACCCCCCTCACACACAATATAGAAGATTAAGACCTTATTTTGAGCTATTATGAAATTGCCTCTACATACACTATGCAAACATATGTAAATCCAGAGCAATGTATTTTTCTGAAATAAAATTAAAATATGTTATAGTAGATGTTTGATTTTTAGTATATAATTTGGATTTTTTTCCAGTTCCAAGTTGGCAAACCCCCCTCTCAGAAGGAGTACTTCTGGGGGACAAGGGGAGGGACTTCTGGTGGCAAAGGTCAGGGGTTAGGGGCAGGACTTCTGGTCCCAAGATGGCAATCAAGGGGCAGCACACCTGTCAAGGGGCAGGGCTACCCTCGCAGCCTTCGACAGCTCACCAAAAGTTGTTAAGTGGCCCTCCAGCCAAAATAATTGCCACCCCTGCCTAAATGGGTACAATTTATGCCAGTAGAATTTTAGGCAGATTCTTTCCTGATTGGATGGAGTTACTCTAATCTGTGTTGTCTGTTCCTTTTTAAAATATCTATATAATCCCCTTTCTACCAGTCTAAAAGTCATCTGTTCAGGACCAGGGAAGATAGCCACAAGGTGGCGGCATTCAAACCTCTGTTCAGATCTCTGATGTTTAAAATGCTTCTCTTATCAAGGTGCAGTAAATTCCCTCTTTACTGTGATGCCAAAAAGGGAACAAAAAAAGTTATTTTAAAAGATTTTCATTGTGACTGTAAACCAGTTGTGCACTATGTACTAAGCTGAACAAACTGCTAGGACTGTGGCAGTTATGTTGTTTATACCATGGCGGTGCTTGGAGGTCCCATCTAAAATTGGAGCCCAGTAGTGCCAGACACTGTGCACACAATAGTGAGAGAGAAAGCCTGCACCTAATAAGATCTTGCAATGAAAATATACAGAGTGGAAGAATGGAAGTATTATCCCTCTCTTACAGATGGTCAATTGTGGAAGGAATCAAATAATTTTTCCAAGGTCATACAGAGCTAACAGCTGAAAGCATATCTAAGCCCCAGTCCTGTGCTTTGCCTACAGACCCATTTTTCCTGTCATAGAAAACTTTCACAAGACTAGGAATCAGAAACTTCCTCAAATCTCTCAGAAGCATACAAATATAAGTGAGTACCTCCCTTACCTCAACATGAAACTTAGCCAAATTTATATAGCCAAACCCTGCATCAAGGCCTGCAGATTCTGATCAAGGTATCCTCCTTTTCTCCACTTCAAGTACTACAGTCACAACCACGGCTTGATCTTGCACACTGACAACAGCAGCAATGGGAGTCTAACTCCTGACTTGAGGTGGAGCCAGATCAAGTCCATAATTGGAGTCTCATAAGTTATCAGCATGTCAGTTTGGCTGGAAGAGTTGC